CTTACTATACATATCGTAAATATGTGATTACTATAATATATACCAATTTACAAGTGAAAACAAAATGTTTATATAACTATAAACGAAAACAAACACCCGCGCGGTTGCGCGGGTCAAAATCTAGTTTAGTATTAATTTAAAACATGCCTAAAAATAGTAGCTTCAAAATAAACAGTTAATTTCACCGTATACCTATTTATCACATAATACATGCTACCAAACTTATCTAAGTATCACAATATTTTCTGCATTCCATAGAATATTTTATAGTTTGAGTTAGCGGTGTAAAATAAGGAAAATTAACATGGAAATCGTAGCTGGATAAATCCTTTCTAGCTTAATATGCAAATATACCTTTTTCTTATTATCCTTAACACAAAAAAAATATTAGGATAAGATTCGCGTCATGCGCGAGATAAAGTTATTATTTTTATTATGTTATAGAAAAAGAAATAATAGTTCGGTTTCATTTGGATTATAGGTGTTCAATTCGGATATCAGGTTTCGGTTCGATTCGATTTTTTGGTATTTCAGTTATTAAAATATAACTAATATTCTAAACCCATATTTACTTCAGCTTGTTTTGGTTTATATACCATCGGTTTTCCGTTTATTCAGTTTTATACCAAAAAAATATAATTATTTAGTTTGAGATTATATTATATATTATATAAATATATAATATGATCATATTTAGAATCATATTTTCAAAAAGTCATTTCTTAAAAAAATATTATATATTTAAATAAAAGAATAAAAAACAAAAAAAAAGGCTTATATCTTCTAATAAAATGATCAAATCTAGAATTAATATCAAATCTCTAAATTTTAACAATAAAAATAAAAAAACAAAACAGAAGCATGAAAGAAAAGTTTTTATATTCTTCCATATTTAGTGTTCATCAAATTAACATGTCTTCGACTAAACACAACACTGTTTGTTTAACAATATTTTTTTGTAAATTTCAACTAATTGTCTTCCATCAAATTTATAATATTTACTTCACTTTAGCTACTATTAAAATAAAGCAAAAATATCAAAAAGACAAAGAAAATAAGAAGCCTCAGTTGCAGTAAATTGTTAGTTAATTATAGTTCAAGTGATTCAAGTGATTTACAAATTAAAATTATAGTTTAACTCATGTAACAAATAGATATTCATGTGTCGTTATAAATATATACATATTTACATGTTTCAGTTTAATCTGTTATAAATCAAACTATATCCAAATCCTACGGTTTTTATAAAATCACATTCATTCGGTTTATATGGTATATACCAAAAATAATCATATTATCGATTGTTTAATATATTTTAAAAATATAAAGTTAAAAAAGAACTAAGATATTTAAATCATTGATAACAAAAATTTTCAATGTGGAAAATTTAATAATTTTATAATTTATAAATGTTCTTGAAAATTCCTTGAAATTTATGAAATTAAACTGTTTATGTAATCTTATATGGTATATAGTTTAATCTATAAATATATTTGTTTTACTATTGAATGGTACTTTTTACTCATATAGTTTTAAAATCATGTGTATCTTTTTATAATAAAAATGTTAAACTATTGATCATTAATTTTTAACATAATAATTTTAATAGTTTTAGTCATTTATTCTCGTTTTTAAATTCAAAATATAGCATATACGAAAAAATCTAAAGTTTAATTTTATAGCTAATTTGATTGTTTAATTTATTTTAATAATATAACATTAAAGAAAAATGATGGAGGAGATATAAATTGTTATCAAATATTTATTATTAGAATCATTAAGTGTCATATATATTAGTCATTTATGGTAATTCTGTAGGTTTTATTTAAGGAAAGAAAATAAAAAAGTAATTATGTTTAGCAGAACTATCCTAAATGCTTCTAGCATAAATATCATATCATATCATCATATCATATAGTTTGACCAACTAATGTATCTAACGACATATAAAAATTGATTGTGGACTTACTTATTTTTCAATTGAATGTAATTGACTACCTAATTGAATGACACCTAAGCATGGGATCTCTTTTAATTATTACAAAATTGAGGTAATAATTTTTCAAATGTTTCTCTTTCAATATATAGGGGATGTCAATTATTGGGAGGACAGATCAGAATCTAATTATTTTTAAGGGGGAATTACCAAAACCAACCCAAATATTCATTTTAACCCTAAAGGTGTACCCGATATTCAATCAATTGCAAACTCAACCTAAATGGGTGTTAAAACTACTATTTAACCCTTATGAACAAACAAAAAACGTGGAATATATTTTACGATTTTGTCCTTCGTAGGTCTACACTTTAAGAAAGAAGTCTACAACTAGGTAGACTTACATTAACGTCTACTGTGTAGACTAATGTAGACTTATTATTTAGCCTACATCTTAATTTAATCAAATAATTTAATTTTAAAAATGTAGAAAGAATGTTTTTGGTAATTTTTTGAATAAATCATCAATTTAAAGGTTAGTATGAGGTATATAAATTAAATTTTCTTATAATTGAACAACTTAAAAGAATGTATATTGATTTGGGAACTATGTGGTAGACAATGTTAATGGTTTAGCAACCAAAGGTTCTAACATGTTATGTCTTTTAGAGTTAGATTCTTAGGGTTAGATTCTAGATTTAGAATTATTTTGGTTTAATGATTCAAAATTGCATATTTAATGTTGAGTAGTTTATATTTTGTATATATGATATTTGGTACAATGACTAAGATTTTTTTTATAATCAATCAAACGTTTAGGGTTTGAGATTTGGGGTTTAGGGTTTAGGGTTTGAGATTTCTGGTTTAGGGTATAGTAGACTTACAGTTAAGTCTACTTATATGGAGACGTCTATTTCAGTCTACGTTAATTTGTGTTTACGAAAATAAATTATTTTAAAACTAAAATTAACTATGCGGGAAGTGAAAATAAATTTTGGAGCCTATTTTTCCTTATTGGCGCCAATATTTAGGGTATAGTAGATTTATAGTAAAGTCTACTTATATGTAGACGTCTATTTCAGTCTACGTTTATTTGTGTTTACCAAAATAAATTATTTTAAAATTAAAATTAACTAAGCGGGAAGTGAAAATGAATTTTGGAGCCTATTTTTCCATATTGGCGCCAATATTTAGGGTATAGTAGACTTACAGTAAAGTCTACTTATATGACGTCTATTTCAGTCTACATTAACTAATTTAACCTAACCGAAAAAATTACACAGCGTATAAATACATTTTTAGGGTTTTCTGGTAAAAAGATTCCTAATCACGCCGTTTAGATCTGAGGCGGTTTAGGGGGTGATTTCCGGTGAGATTTCTGGCAAACCCTCTTCGACTCCGTTTTCACACGCAGCCACCTTCCTCTCAGAATCACCATTCACCACCACGACCATCACCACTATCCTCTCCCATCCTTCAGTCATCTCTACCTTGTCTCCTCCTCATCTCTTCCTCGTCACCACCATTACTCTCTGCCTCGTCTCCTCCTCATCTCCACCATTACTTTCCGCCTTGTCTCCTCCTCATCTCCTCCTCGTCATCACCATTACTCTTTTCCCTGTCTCTCTCTCTCTCTCTCTCTCTCTCTCTCTATATATATATATATATATATATATGTGTGTTTATAAAGAGTCTCTGCATCTCTTATTGTTCTGATTAAAGTGTTCAATTTTCGCTCTAGGGTTTGTATATGTTCAATTTATATGCTGTAAATTGAAATGCATATGTCTTTGACGAAAATTGATGAAGTGTTTTGAGTTAATACATGTTTGTAGTGTACAAGCATGTGTTGTGTTTTATTGATTTCTCTGGCTCTCTTTGTTGCAGGTTGCTCCCAGAATGATGTAGTGGAGGTTCTCTAAATGTCTCTGGTGAGTCTTATTACCACACATGAGATCCTCTTTTTTTTTATCTTTTTTCTTTTTGCAAGCTTTTAAATTGTAATAAACTGCTTTATGTATTTAAATGAACGGAAGGTGGAAGAGTGCTCTAATGCAGAAAGGTTACTATCCAGTGAAGAACCTAAAGATGCAAACGCTCTTAATATTCATGAGAATGACATACCTACGGATAATAAAGTCAGTAAGCAAATTTCAAAGATGATTTGCTCTGTACAGCATGTAAGGAGCTGCTCGTGCGGCCTAGTACTCAATTGTGGACATGGTATCATCTTATACTCTTGGTTTTTGATAAGTATTTCAGCTTCAGCTGCTTGAGATAACCTGTCTCGTCCTTCTTACAGTGTACTGTGAAGGATGCGTAGTAGATATGTCTCAAGAAAGTGAAAAGATCAAATGTCAGGCGTGTCATATCTCTGACTCGAGAGGATTTCCGAAAGTTTGTTTGGTTCTTGAGCAGCTTTTGGAGGAGAACTTTCCTGAAGAATACAATTCAAGGAAAAGTGGGATTCAGAAAACGCTTGCCCATACTTGCAAAGGAAGTAAGTTCTTGTGCTCTCAAAAGCTTTTCTCTTGTTGTTACTTTGTACACAGAAACTCATAGTTTTTGTAATCATTTTATTCTGACATGTAGACATTCAAAGCTCTCGCAAAGAAGGCCCATCTTTGTCAGGCGCCAACAACAATGATCTTCCCTGGTGGGAAAACCCTGCATCTATTGTTCACATCGGAGCGGGATGTGATTGTTGCGGAGTAAGTACATGATTTTAAACAGATTGTGCTATTAGTAGTGAAACAAAAATGTGTAAGGATCTGAATGGTGATGTGGTTTTGCAGGTGTATCCATCATAGGGGAACGATACAGATGCAAAGACTGCAAGGAAGAAATTGGTTATGACCTTTGCAAAGACTGCAAGGAAGAAATTGGTTATGACCTTTGCAAAGACTGTTACGAGACTCCTTCAAAAGTTCCAGGGAGATTCAACCAACAACATACCCCAGACCACAGGCTTGAAGATAGTAACTGTTGGTTATATGGGTTGTAACCCAGAAATTTGTGAATTACATACTTGGATAATGATTGAATCGCGCACGAGGTCACTTTCCTTAAAGAGTATTTCGACCCTATTCCAAGCCTTTGGGTTACACGAAATCCCTTTGTAGGATACGACAATCAAAGTCACATTCTTGTTCTAGGCTAAGATACAAGAATAACAAATAGAATTTTAATGCTTATATGTGTTTCTTCAAAGATCTTTGATGATTTTTAAACAATAAATATATTTCTCTCTTACTTTCTTACTAACTATTAGTTTCTGATTTTTCTATCTCCTTTGTCAATAATGCCTACATCTCTTTATATAGAGAATGAAAGGTTGCAACCAATGGTTACAAGGGTTAATTCAAAAGATGCAATGGTTAGTACTAATAGTTGCAATGGTTAATGAAGAGTTGCAATTATTAATACCAACAATTGCAATGGTTAGTAAAGAGTTACAATGGTTAATCATCAAGGGTTGCAATCACTAATATGGTTAATCATCAAAGGTTGCAAATATTAATATGGTTATCACCAAAGGTTGCAATCATTAATATGGTTATTACCAAAGGTTGTAATCATCAATAGTTGCAAACTTTTATTCATGTAGTTGCAATTATTCACATAAACAATTCCAATGGTTCTTTGCACCCTTTCACTTAAACCCTTTCACTTAAATATATAACAATCCTCCCCTATTTAAGTGAAATAATAGATTTATTAAATAAATAATACATATATCAAACTCATGCACAAATGAAAATGTTCGAAGAATTGAATTTCAATCTTAGTGTAATACACATTCCAAATGCCCGAGAATCAGGATGTCCTACGGATTGAATCCCTCAACCCATTTTGAGCATATGTAGATAATACACACACGTGTTTCCACACTACTCTAAGTGTTTACTCGACACTATTATAAGCCATGTGTCCCAATCCATTCATGAATGTATACAAAGCCAAGTCCCAGCTTATTGAAGCGGCATCACTTCACATTCATATAGGTAAATACTTTCACTCATGCACCTGCAAATGCACTTTTTCAAAGTATTTATTAAGAATANCTTTCCACATTGAATTCAGCCTCTAACGTCGTATTAGAGGGGAATTGGGTATCCCACCATTAAAGATTTCAAATGGACTTTAAACTCATCCCTTGAACCGACTCAACTTCCAAGTCTCTAGCTAATCATTTCGTCAAATGATATGCTACCTTTCTTTCAGACCGAACAATCTCTTTGGTAATCACCTCGTGAGTGATCAACTCACATACTGCGCTATATCTAACGACAGGTGTCGCGACTTACCATTATACACTTAGTTATAAAATTTAACCAAGACTTTTTAACTATCAGAGATAGAAACTGGTGATACTATTTCGGCCAAAACAGAATCTTATAAATTAAATTATTTATTCAATATTCTGTTTACTAGCATATGCTAATGCTACAAATTTTTATTTTATAGTCAAATTTTTCATGCAAATTTGCTCCTTGGAAGCCTATGAAATGGTACCTCCCCAAGCAAATACACTCAACCAATTATAGAAGAATGATCTTCTATATTAATAATAAAATTTTCATCTAAATACCCTTCTACCACCGAAGGAAATTTGACATAAAACAAACCATAATTTATGTTTTCATTCAAACACTCGAGTTGTGATATTTATTGTCCTTTATAAGGCCCAGTCTTCACACTCGCATCCATGGGAGTTGTCATTGGAGAACAATCTCACAATCAAACGTCTTAACAACTTTCTCAATATAAAGAGAGTTTGTTAAAGATAGTTTTTTTTTTTTTTAGTTGTATGTGTGATTCAAATTTCAAGAATCACATCCACCTCCCCCATGTCTTTCATTGTAAGACTTGATGACAATAATGCTTTTGTAAACTCTACTTATCTATGGCTAGTGCCAAAGATCAATATGTCATCAACATATAAGCAAATGATTATTCCATTACTGAATTCATCAATTTGTTATATAAACACTTATCCTAGTAGTTTAACTCAAACCACTTGATAAGACAATCTCATTAAACATTTGATGTTAATGCTTAGGTGCNGCTAGTGCCAAAGATCAATATGTCATCAACATATAAGCAAATGATTATTCCATTACTGAATTCATCAATTTGTTATATAAACACTTATCCTAGTAGTTTAACTCAAACCACTTGATAAGACAATCTCATTAAACATTTGATGTTAATGCTTAGGTGCTTTCTTTACCATACAAATAAATGTATACATTTTATACTTATTGTATCTTCGAATTCCGCTGTAGCATTTTAAAATATATTAATTTTAATTAATTAATTATTTGCATATAGTGGGTGTTGTCTTAAATATGTAAATATATTTTAGGAAAATTATGTATATCTTAAGATATAGTGTGCTTAGAATGAATTAAAAATTAACTAAAGTGTCTGATTCCAAAATACGTAAATTAATATAACGATAATATTATAAAGTCTCATGCATATATATAAATTTTACAAAAGAACTAAAATTTTAAGAGTTGGTTAATATTTATTTTCATTTCTTAATATATTTTGAGTTATCATATGATCATAGAGGGTTACATGCATAAGTAGTTGATACATTTTTGGAAGCTCATGAACACACATCAATATTTACAATAATTAAAATATTTATAAATTCTAAATAACTTTATGCTTTAGATTTATTGAATGTAAACTGAAATAATTTTGAATAATCTTAAAAGTGAGAGTTAAGATTTTCTTTGGTATTTTGATGGTTATATTTAGTTTCATAAAATAAAAACATAAAATTTAAAAGAAAATTTAATATTAAAAACAAATAATTTTAATAATGATAAAATATCATGTATCTAGCTCATTAGACTAATTGTTAATTATTTAATCAAGCGATGTTTATTTTTAAATTTAATTTTAGTTTTAATATCTCTTAAAAAGAAGTAGTACATAAAATTTTGATTGTATTGAAAATAATATTATTTAAGTAAATATTTCAATAATACTAATTATAAACTATTTTTATTACTCTAAAAGTATATTTTATGTTATTTAAAAATAATTTTTGAATGTATTATTACTATTTTGTGAACTTTCTTTTTTATGAAATCATATAATATATACATATATTTTTTCGTGTTCAATTTATTTTTTATGACTTTATAAATATTTTCCTTTTTATTACATAATTTTTGGAAGATTTTGAAAAGGAAACTAAATAAAAGAATTAATAGTACTATTTTTAACTATTTTTAATTCATTAAGGATATCAGTGTAATTAACCATCGTGAGAATGAACGTGAGAGCGGCACATAGGAAACTGACTTCTCAAATAATATTATAGATATATATACTCTCTCTGTTCCTAAAAATCCATGTTCTAGATTTTTCACAAATATTAAGAAAACTCATTTAATTTTGATTTTAAATGCATTGCTTTTTGTGAATAACAACTTTCCATAACTTTTAACCAGTAGAAACTCAATAAACACCATTAACTTTTTTGAAACTTACAATTTTTCATTAAATCATTCATTGAAAAGGTAAAAAATTCATCTTTTTGAAACAATTTTTTTTTCTATAATATACATCTTTTAGGAACAGAGGGAGTATAACGCAAACAAAGAAAGACTTATGTTTTTATTTGGTTGCGTATTTTGGAATAATATTTTTTCAAAGAACTGAAAAAAAAAATTTACTAAGGGAAAATTTGTAATGTAATTGCGAAAAAATGAATTTTTGAAACAGTCAAGGCTCATGTGATGTTTGTTCTCTTTCTAGTTATTGCATGTCTACATGAGATGGCAAACAAGAGGAAGCTTCTGTCGTTTTTAATGTGTAAGCTCATGTGATGTTTGTTCTGTTTCTAGTTATTTTTTGTATGTTTATGTGTGAGCTTGTCTTGTTCTATCTGGTCCATTCCTGCAGGTACCTAAAGATGAGCTTACTGTAGCATTACAAGTTACTAAGCCTTTTTAAAATAAGGTACATCACTTCTAATTAGACAACATTATTGGTGTAAAAATGTGATTCCATATACTAATATGCATTGTTTTCATGTTGGTGTTTGGTATGCAATGTTCAAACCACGGGTATAAGACATCGTGGTCATCCCCTACGCTTTCCTTGTGATATACATGCAAGTCCAAGAAGGAAATGAGAGATCAAGGTTTCGATTTAGTTTAGATGTTTTCTATTGTCTTTTTATATTTATTCTGATATTGTAACGATGTTTTGTGTAAGATTGTTGAAAATGTAGAAGTCTACTTGACAAACAATTCTTGTTAATTATTAGTCTTCTTTTTTGTAGACTTACAAAGAAGTCTACTTGACAGAGAAAAATATAACATAAGTCTATCACATTAACAACATCCAAAGCAACAATATAGTTTATAAGTTCAACACAGACTAAAAACCTACAAATCCAATAGAAGACAACTCAAAGTAATGAGACACTAATACATAATAGAACATCCATAGAAACAAGACAACTCATAAGTTCGACACATAACACTAACACATCTAGAGTTTTTCACCACTTATTCTCTGTATACAACGAGTAATTGAGCCATCTGCAAAAAAAAAAAAATACGATTTACATAATTAGCAAACAAAAATTTCATGTTTGATAAAATTATAAAATAGACTTACAAGTACGTCTACAATTATTAGCAAACAATATAGTCAAACCAAAAATTTAAACATAGACTTACAAGTACGTCTACAAATTTTAAGCTAATAATATAGACAAACCAAAAATGTGTTAACTTCATGATTATAACAAATTGTCAAGAGAAAATCATTGAAGACC